CAATCTTAGAAGATTTTCGGACACATTTGATAGATCAAATGAATGTCTAATTCAGCGAGTGCATAGTCGAATCGAGCGTCTTGACAAGACAAATCCAACGAGCCCAAGATTGCTCAATTCTGACATCGTTAAGGCACTCAAATGTCCATCAAACGCTATCCAATCAAGGGAACCTCTCCAAACCATCCAATCAAAATGGTTCATATTCTTGCATTAATTGCACCCAGAACACTATAAATGGAGCCCCACTCCTCACATGAGAAGAGAAGGCTTGACAGAAAACTTGAGGTAGAAGGAGTTTAAGTCCAACATCATCTCTGCGTAAAAACTTATGGTGTCATTGAAGACCCAGGCCTCGTGGTTTTTTTTTCTTTACGGGTTTTCCACATAAAAACTTATGGTGTCATCACAGATTGATTCTCCTTTATCTGAGTGTGTGTTGAATCCTCATACAATGCTAAGACGTTAATCTATTACTTTATTGCCGTGAATTTTTTAGCACACATCAGTAAAGTTTGATGTTCTACCAGAGGTAATTATGCAAAGCAGTAATGAAAGTGATGAGGGGAGTGGGTCTGACACCCATTCCTACTATTCCGTAGATAGTTTAGAGCCATCCACCCCTACAACTACAGTTTATTGGTTAGTCAGGAATAGATGTTTTCCTTAGTGTTACTCACCATTCTTGAACTACATTATGTTGATAGATGATGGAGAACTATAGAGCTATGAAGAAACATTGTAAGATAAAAATTTGAGCAAGTAAGAGCTAGCCATGATAGAGGAGATAGATTCATTACTAAAGAATCAGACATGAGAGTTGGCAGAACTTATACCAGGAAAGAAGGCAATACACAACAAGTGGGTGTATTGGGAAAAGACTGAGCGTGATGGCAGTAAGAGGTACAAGGCTAGAATTGTCATAAAAAGTTTTTAGCATAGGTAGGGCAATGATTATTCTGAAATTTTTTCTTCTGTGGTGAAGCTCACAACCATCAGAATGGTATTGTTCATGGTGTCCACTGAAAATCTATTCCTAAAGCAGTTAGATGTGAAGACAACCTTTCTTCATGGGGATCTTGAAGAAGACATCTACGCACCAACCTAAGGAGTTTGTGGTACAAGGAAAGGAAGATTCAGTTTGCAGACTGAAGAAGAGCTTGTACGGCCTGAAGCAAGCTTCTAGACAGTGGTATAAGAAATTTGATAATTTCATGCAAAATGTAGGGTACACCAGATGTTAGGCAGATCATTGTTGTTATATCAGGCATTTTTACGATTCTTATATTATTCTACTATTACACGTGGATAACATGCTTATTGTAGGGGCCAGTTTTAATGAGATCAATAATCTAAAGAAGTAGATGTCATAACACTTTGCAATGAACGATTTGGGAGTTGCAAAGCAAATCCTTGGTATGAGAATTATCAGAGACAGAGTTAGAGACACATTGAAACTTTCACAGGATGATATGTGAAAAAGGTACTCAGCTCATTCAATATGGGCAAGGCCAAACCAGTTAACACACATCTGGGCAGTCAATTCAGACTCAGCAGGAATCAGCCACCCAAGTTAGAGGAGGAGCGAGATCACATGAGTAAGGTTCCTTATGCCTCAGCTATTGGTTCACTTATGTATGTTATGGTTTGCATAAGACTGAATATTGCCCATGTAGTGGGTGTTGTGAGCAGATACATAAGTAATCTAGGGAAGGAACATTGGGAAGTTGTGAAATAGAACTTGAGATACCTAAAAGGCTCCTTAGAAACCTATTTGTATTTCTCAGGAAAGAGAGGGCTATGTTGATGCAGTTTAGCTGGAGACATTGACAATAAAAAGATAACTACATATTATGTTTATACTCTTGGTGGTACTGTAGTGTCATGGGGCTCAAATCTCCAGAAGATAGTTTCTTTGTCCACTATAGAAGTTGGGTACATTGCAGTGTCAGAGACTGCAAAAGAAATGATATGGTTGTGGAGTTTCATGGAAGAATTTGGTTAGGAGATTCAAAAGGGCACTCTTTAAAGTGATAGTCAAAGTGTCATATTCCTTGTCAGGAATTCAGCGTTTCAATCCAGGTCCAAGCACATTCAGATCAGGTACCACTTCATAAGGTCATTGTTAGATGACGAACATTTTCTACTTGAGAAAATTTATGGAAGCAAGAACCTTACTGATACGTTGACCAAGGTTGTTACACTTGAGAAACTGAAGTTATGCACAACTTCAGTTGGTCTTTTGGTTGGCATGAAGACAGAGGCTTTGAGTAGCAGAGGTGGAGGATATCACATTTGAAGAAAATGACGACGAAGACAATGGATGATGCAGCCAGTGTCCCAGCTCTAAATGGGAGATATGTTGAGATTAGTCGAGTCCGGTCCACTGTTGATTAAGAGAGACAAATTACATATTTCTTAATTAATTCCTTTCTTTAAATGGTTCACACACCTTCCTCATGTGGATCCCGCATCTACGCGTTCTCTCAAGATTTCACGAAACAAAAGGAACTTCTCTAGATTTCCTGATTTTTAGACCTTGCCTAATGGGCCGAAAAAGCATAACTTTAAATTGATGCATCTAGTGCATCATATGAAGTACAACTCTCCTGAAATCCTCTTCTTAAGGGTCAAAAAGAAAAATACAAGCTTGCTTTCTTTTGGATTCTTCTTCCTGTGTGGTTACGGGTGGAGAGGTAGAGAGAGAAAGTGAGAAGGAGAAGAGAGAGAGAGCGGAAGAGAGTATTCTTGTATGTCGAGGCGATCGACAGTGTAATCCTTATAGTAAAAAAATTCTCTATAGCTCCGTGGACGTTGGCAATTTGTCGAATCATGTAAATATGTGTGTGACTCTTGTTACTATTTTGTGAATTTTTCTCATTACATTTTTGCGTTGTATTGTTGTCTTTTCTTTTCACAACACACTGATCTGTTAACAAAAAACAGTATGCAAAATGCTAAAACAGTCACTACTCCAATGGCTTCTAATTTCTACAGATCTTTGAACTCTAGCCCACCCTTCAAACATCCATCTTTATATAAACTACTTATTGGATCACTTCGGTATTTAACTGTTGCTCGACCCGATATTACCTTTTCACTCAATTATCTTAGTCGCTATATGCATAATTCCACAAACATGAATTTTCAACACTTTAAAAAATTACTTTGATATTAAAAGGTACTAGCACTTATGGTCTTCCTATAACTTCTGCTGAGTGCTTATGCAGACTCAGATCAGTCTAATGATCATCAAGATCGTAAGTCAAATACTAGATTTTTGTGTTTACATAGGTCCAAATTTAATTTCATGGTCAGTAAAAAAATAGAACATTGTGTCTAGGTCCTCTACAAAGGTTGAATACCGAGCTATTGCGACCACGACCACAAAACTACTATGGCTTCGACAGCTATTACGAAAAAATAACAAATCAACCAATACCTCTCACAGCGATCTACATCGACAATACCTCAGCTATCGCCTTGGTTCATAATCTAGTTTTTCATGCTCGGACGAAATATATTGAGGTTTATTAATAATTCACAAGAGAATATCTGAAGCTACGACATATCATTCTGAAGTACATAATGTCCAAAGATCAAAATGCTGATATACTTACCAAACTGCTTTCAATCACTCATCTCCAATACCTCACTGAAAGCTGACGATCCCTGTAGTCGATCATCATCTTGAGGGGGGCTAAATGTAAATACTTGGATTTATCTTCTCTGCTCGAGTGGTTCTCTTCCCTCTGGCATTCTCTTCGTTTGGTGGATGCTTTGCTGAAACATGTCGTGAAATTGATTAGGTATTAGAATTAGAACTTTTATACTTTATGCATCTATTGTATTTTTACCTTTCTACCCTTTGGTAGTATTTACAAAATTGTAATTCCTTGAGTCTATATATACATACGCTTATGATTGAATTTGTAAGTGAGATTAATAAGAAAAGTGGCTTATCTTTCTCAGATTTAATTTCCTTTCCACTTCTTCTTCTATTCGGTTCTCCAAGTGAGCCTCCCAATTTTCTTCTTTTTAGTAAAATTATTTTTTTCACCTTGTTATCTGCTAAAATACTTTGAGTAAAAATCTAACATTAAAATAATAAAGAGAATATCACGAGATTGCACCATGATCAAGCAAACATGTGGCCATTTAAAAATAACCTGAACTCTTCAAAGATTATTTAGATAAAGTTTTTCATTTAAAAATAATAAATTAAAATTTTTCATATTTCTTTCGATAGTCCGTTCAAAATTTATGTCTGACCATGTAGATTTGATCTCAAACAGCTAGAAGTCATCATTAAAAATATTTCGATTTTGATCTTTACAGAGGTCTTTTAATTTTTACAGAAACCCGTAAGGTAAGATAGGGAAAATATTTGCATACGTAAGACGCTGCGTACGTTGAAGGTTATTCAGAGGGTACAAGAAAGTTATATCAACATTATACCCTCTGTAACTGTAACTGTAACTTATCTGTACCTAACAGAACTACAGAACCGCAGAATTTATTTGTAGGTTACAGATAGGTTACTGAGAGGTTACAAGAGGGTATAACGCGAATACAATCCCTCTACACCCTCTAAATAACCTCCTGACGTATGCAGCTCTGCGTACTTCTTACGTACGCAAATATTTTCTGTAGAATAGACTTACAGAGACCACAATTTTATATAATTATAAATATCTTTTGTTCGCATAAAATCTCTATACTTCTACAGAACATTAAAATGCTTTATAAAGACAAAAATAACTACAGAAAATCACACTCTTGCAGGGTGCCAAAATGAAAACACACATACCAGTTACTCTAGAACAAAAATAACAATACAAGAGAAAAAAACAATTTGTTCAATTTAGAAAATATACAACAAAAACCACTTAAAATAGCCGGATAATATCAACTAAATCCCATTATTAAACAAAATTACAAACTTAAACCAAATTCATGAGGAAAAGAAAATAAGCTGTGTAAAACCAATGTATGACAGATTTCTCAAAATTTTCGAGTAAATATCAATGAAACTTGCGAATTACAGCTATTAGCAAACCTAGCAGATGGACAAAGTAGCATTTATTCACAGCATTCAACATTAGTCTAACAAACAAGGGTACCTGAGCAAGAAATCATTATTGGCAAGACCAACAATCAGTATAGCAACCTCTCTCTCTCTCTCTCTCTCTCTCTCTCTCTCTCTTCTTAAACACACATTATCATGACATATACACCTCAACACTCGCAGTCTTCCTGATAAAGCAAACAGGGCAAGAATCCACCAGTGCATCACAATCCCTGCACAAGCATAGGTGCCTGCAGGGAAGTAAAAGCATGCAAGACTCCCCACCTTTACAACCTTTACATGCCATAGTCAGCACGCGCTTCTCCCCACCCCTAACAGAATTAGGGTAGAAAGACGAAGCAGCATCATCGACTTCACTCTCGCCACAGCCCTCCCTGCCCCAGTTAGCTGCAGCAGCGGTAGCAGCAGCACCTTGAGCTACAGCCTGTTGGAGGCTGGTTCTCAAAGCATGCACAATCGACTCGTTGTACTGTGCACGCTGCTGCCATGTCTGAGCCTCTGCTGAAGCCTGGTGTATTTGATCAGCTAGCTCACAATTCTTCCGGTTTATAGATTCGATCTCCATGTCCTTAGCCCGGAGCTTTTGGGATAATTCTTGATCAATAAGGTTCACGAATGATGTTATATGTCGCTGCTTCATCTCTGTCAAACCTTTTGCAAATTGTTCCTCCTAAAGCGATGCAAAATACAACATTTGTTAAAGATTAAGGTAAGAATTTATCACAGTGCCATTTTTGGGTCATCTAACAAGCTCAAGTCATCGTCCTGATCTCGTGAGAGGGTAACTATTTCAGTTCACCAAGAACTTGCAGCACAACAGGATGGTGATCAGCCATGAAAGAAATGAGAAGGTTTAAGATCATTAATTTACAGTTTTGGCGAACTGTCAACTTGAAAACTTGGGGGGAATTATTTGCAAAGAAAAAGAAAAAAAATAATATATATATACCTCAGCTATTATATATATATATACCACGTTTAAGAGGGGCAGAGTACATCACCTCACAATTCCAAATTGAAAAAGTCATTGCTGAACTGGCTTAATAATAAGTTTTTATTTCCTAGTGCTTAGCTTTTTGGATCAGTAATGCAGAGGAAAATTAATCTAAGAATAAAACCAGATCACAATCCAGATATTAGAAACCTTTGTGGTTGGCAGGAGCCTGGAGTTGCACAAGAGTATATCTATTTTACCCGAGAATGAAAAGCAATATGTAATTAATGCTAAACAGACCAGTTAATAAAGACAGGAAGAACTTCCACTTCCCATTCAAAGCATTGATATAGAAGAGAAATGGAAGTTGTAATTAAAACGGAAATGAAGCAGCAAAAAATAATAGAATGAAGTTCCTTCTATAGTTTCCCTGTAATATGCGTTGATGAAAACAAAAATAATTCACACAACAAAATAGCACCTGGAATCTAAAGAATCGGTTGAACTCTTCATTTTGATTCTTGATCTCAGGACGAAGATTGTCAAGAACAGTCGTGGGGAAGGGTAGAGATGACATGCTCCCACTTGCTGTCGTGAGAGAGGAATGTCGTTCTTCATCATCATAGGATAATCTCAGACCAGTGGATACAGTATTCACCTGGGGAATGCTCCTTGATCTATCCATTTCATCACGAAATAGATTATTAAAGGAGATCTGTAGATTGTTCTGTGTTGCTATGTCTACCGACTCAGGGCTTCTCTTGATTGGTATGTTTAAAACAGATGCTTCATTGTTATCACTCACTTTAAGTTTCATCGGATCAGCATTACAAGCTGCAGAAACTGCAATGGAGATAAGAATCAAAGAAAAATCAACAAGATTATCAAAAGAATTAGTATGCCTATAAACAGTGCAGGATTCGACAATTATGCTGCCGACAAACAAATTAAGTTACAGAAAAAGCACGAGTTCCTAAAATTATATGTTCCAAGTAATTTATAAAAGAATGCAAGGAATCATTATTAAACTGACTCTATGATCTAACTAGAATGGCTTTATCAGTAAGAGAAAATAACGCATCAAGCAAAGAAAAATACAGAAAAATGATGACTGAAAGTGACCAAGCTTCTTTTGGTATGCAGACATGTTCTACTGTATGGTACAAAATAAAGTTACAAACTCTCTAAAAGAGTTGTATAAGCTACATTACAAGTGTCTGTTGCAACAGTCAATGAATAAGTAGAGGAGAAGCACACACGGATTATGGCTCTCTACAGCAACACGAATTAATATTGTGATATGACAGATTTTTTAATAAGCCAAAGAACATAAATACCTGAAAAAAAAAACCCTAAGCTTTAATTAAACAATGGCAATTATCATTAATTAAGAAAAAAAGTCTTGTGGACTCCAAAACAGAATGGATCACATGAAAGAAGCCATAAGCACCATCCAAGCTGGCCATCATCTATTTTAGACTTAGCTTTGTATTATTTTCAAAATTTGGATTGGTTTAAGCTAGACTTAGCTTTCTATTTTAGATTTAGCTTTGTATTATTTTCAAAGCTGGATTTAGCCATAAGCACCATTCAAGCTGGCCATAAGCACCATTCGAAATTACACAAGAAAAACCAATTAAAATGCTTAATTTAAGCTGGATTTTCAAAAAGCCAACTTGAACAGGTGTGTGTTGTTTTAAGAGTGTTTGAGAAGCTTCAACCAAATGTTCATTTCCTTCAACACCCAGCCAGAAGATGGATAAAACTAATTCTACTGTCGTTCAAACATAGTTATTAGCTCAAGCAACCAAATGGGGCCTAAGTAAAAAAAACAATGTATGAAAGTGCATTCAACCATGATTTTTACTCATCATAATCACGGCTATCTAATTAACGTCACCTTTCTTGTTACCCTTATTATGACATGGAGAGAGCAATACCCAATTATCTTTTATGAGAAAGCATGGTCTTGCTAGAAAAAGCTTAATTTCTAACTCATTTATGTTTATAAGAGCCTATCATAAAAGAAATCTATTAACACGTAAAGAAGAAACAACAAAAATACTAAATATGTCAAAAGATACTGAGATTTATGTGCTTTGGCTAAAAGTCACATTTATAAGAGAGTAGAGCCAATTCCTTCTCAGAAAGTCACAAGGGCGTACATAAGATTGTTGCCAGAGAAATCAAGCGAGTTTCCATTTTTTATTTTATTTAAATATATTATATTTAACAAAAAATGGGTCTTAATGGACACCCTATTAAAGCGTATCATTTGTATGACTGATATAACGATGTTTCAATTGTGTGTGCACGTTGGATTTTTGCCCACATCAACAATTTAAAGGTAAGTGTGTAAAATTGCTAATGATTGGCCTCATCTAAAAGCTTAAACTTGTGTCAAAATTAAGTTTTGCTATCAGTACATCAAGCGCAACAATAGTCTCTTTCTAGTCGACAATACTCAATAAATACCAAAGTTGATAACTCAACTAGTTTCAAATATATCATGTAGATTTTGGCTCCCCTAAGTTTTAGTACTTTGTACCATATTCAATCAATGTTTAAGAGCAACTGATTCATGTGCTGTCGAATGTTTCCTTAAGCAAGGACTTGTTGCATGACACTATGAAATTAGAAAGCTTTCATATGAGGGGAAGTAATGGCCAATGAAGAGAGACCATAGAAAGGGAAATTTGTTAAGGTATGTGAAATTACTGAATTTAGTCCTATATCCATAATCTAAAAAGTACGTTGGGGCAAAAATATTGTTCGTTATCTCTTATAAGCTTAAGCCATTACTTTGAAAATGGGACAAAACATTGATGTATAATGTATCAAGCTCAATTTTCATCCTTCATTTACTGTCCCTAGCATCAAGTGTGCTAAAAATTAATTCCACATGATGAGAAAAGCTCGAAATTGAGCAATATAAAATGCAGCTTTTCTAGAAATTTCATTGATCACCTTAAGAAATATGGATATGCATATGCACCAGTTTAATTAATTTTTTTAGTAATACGCACTGGTATAAAATCTAACTTAACTCTACAAGGCATGAATGCAAACTAGGACATGAAAGATCTAACAACATGGATTTAGAAGAACGATAAACCTTAAAAACATAATTTTAAAATTAACATATAAAATGCATGAAAAATAATATATGCACCATACAAGCATATATAATATAAAAATGGGCATTCCTAGCGCATGTGGCTTCTTATCAAATGTAACTGTTATGGTAAGCTGGTGCGTGCAGCCTTACCCAACATGAGGTTATGATGCAAATTAAAAAACTGAGTTTTGATGTTGCTTTATTGATTTCATTTCAGCAATGTTTGTTCTTTATATTGGTTTATTTTAATGCAAAGATGACTGATGATAATCCTTACAGAAAAAGGGTTTTGTCATCTAAACCTATGTTGCATTGTTTGAATCCACATGCTGATTAATAGTCGACTTAATCATTAGTTCATTAGTTGTTTTTAATTTTCCTATTTAACTGTTTATGATTAGTGCTATATTTCCTTATCTGCTTAATATAGATCCTACAATCAAAAAATGTTGCTGGAGTCTACATGTATTTTCTTTCTATGGTCTCTTCATTGTAGCTGCTTTTGTTGATTAGGTACTGTGATGACCATGGATACATTTAAATTATAACATTTAAATTATAACTTGCGGCGAACTAAATGTATTTTTTTATTTTAAAAAAAAATAGAATCTCTGCTTTAGTTGTTAGATTGCGAATTTTAGTTTTTTGTATCTCTTTGAACAAATCATCCTAATTTATAATAGCAATACATAGACTTGATGGCATCCTACATCAAGTTGTGTTCTTGATTTAAACCGGTAACCTCTAAATTCTATGGATGCAACCTAAACAAAAACCCAGTCCCATCCTCAATACTTGCATATACACATTGATAGTATCACAAATGCATATATTCCACTGCAAAAAGAAGGCAAATAAGTCCAATAGACATTCAAACCTGATAACATAGTTTGCAAAGACATAGTAAGCAACAAAATGTCATACAATGCCATATCTCATTAGTCTAAAGTTGAAAATGAATAAGATCTTTTTGGAAAAATTTAAGGGAACCCCTACGAAATTGATAAAGTATTATTATACACTTTTATACAATTTATATCAATGTGGTTAATCTTGAGCAATAGAATATCAAAATTCAATCTTATTGTATAAATAAGGTATTCAAACCTAGTTTTATTGCTGTTATAAGAAGTTTGGTTAATCTCACACCCTGGAAAACATAAGTTTCTGAGCATATACCAAACATATGCCACTATTTCAGATTTTCCTTATAAGGCTACAAGGATATTCAAATATATTTAAGGATTCATCTTCAATGCACGAAAGTCAAGGAAAACCAAAACAAAAAAAAATGTGACATTTCTGGTTAATGTTTTAATAGATAACAAAAAAATAAAAAATAGAAGTTGAGAACACACAGAATCACCAGCATTGAACATGTGTTCGCTTCTGACCTAAAAATGAACACATCATAATCACCTATCAGATACTTCATAGAGAAAAAAAAATCCAAAAATAAATTCTACCAACTACCAAAATCAAAGGAATTTAACGGTATTTGTCAATTCACCATAACACTTTGGAAATACCAACAAACAAAAAAAATAAAAGAAGATTGTAGATAGTAGACTTGAAATGGTTTACTCACTATTCCCAAATAGCCGCAGCTGTGTCAATGAATTAGAATCATAATAGAGTGGATTCTCCTCCAAGAAGTATGAAAAATTTTGATTGGCAGTGTTACCCCCAAACATTTTTCCTGAAGAATAAAGATTAAAAAATGAAGAAGAAAGCAGTAAACCATGCTTATTCATGACCAATGCTATAAAGGTTGCTTCAAACCTCATAAAACAAAACTAAGAAAAAAAACATCATAACATAAATCCAGTATTTGGGACACAAGATAAAATATCAGTGAGCGATATAACAGCATTAGGATGATTAACAACTGATCATGACTTATGGATAGTAGACTCATGTAGAAACAGTTGTGTAATAAAAAGATAAGAAGAAAGAAAAGTTAATTCAGAAAATCGACATCATTTCCTTCAGCGCAGTCGACATGATCATCCAAAAGTATTAGAATATTTATTAGAACAACAATAATAATAAGGCAAATCCCTCGGATCAAGGCAATACAAAGTATACGAGCAGTTAGAAACAAAATCGGTAAGGTATAGAGTTACCGAGTTCTATCATCCTAGGGCAAGAATAAAAATCCAAGGAAAACCTTCTTTCCCTACATTATCGAACAAAATAAACATAAATCAAGACTGATCAATTGCTAAAATAAACCTAGCGAAGGATCGGGAGACTAATTTGCAAAATAAAAAAAACATAACGAAAACGAAGCCATTATGATAGCTTGCACCAAATCATGAAATGCACAAAGAAAAGCATAACAAAAAGCAACAACAAAGCGGACGATAAGTTGAGATCGGGACAAAAGTTTCACCTTCAGGTACCGATCGATCCTGCTTCAAATTATCAAACCCCGAAAGCTCAAATACTTAACACAAAATTGAAAAGTATTCCCACAGCCTATCGATTATGATTCATACACCAGATTACTAAAGAAACCCTAAAAATCTCAGCTTTCTACAAGATCCTAAACGAGACGAGCCGGCTCTTCCACCTCTTCTCAGGGTTCCCCACTCGCCGCTGCGCCTCTGAACTGCGGTTTCGGTTTTCCACCAAGCCGCTTATTAAACTATTCATTATGAAATGACAAATTACCCCCTAATAGTCGGCCTTTTATCGTAATTTTGCATCTTATTGTAATTTTACATCCTTTATTTTTTACCTGCCAACCGTTTCAGACGCGCAGTGCGAAATCGAAGAAGGAAGCACGCGCCGTGAGGTAAGGTGTAAATGTGAAAAAATTATACTATCATGTGGTCATTTGGGCCCGAATTGTGTATGTCAGTGGATTCAAATTTTCTCGTGGCCTCACAGCTCTTGATGTGATAATTTCTTGTAAATGTTTGGGGGTCTTGGTCTGACTTTAGTATGCAATTTTATGGACCTGCAAGTTGAAAAACCGTGCTAACTTTCAAGCCTATTTAATTAGAATTAAAAAATATTAAATAAAGATGTTATTATAATAAAATGATAAATAAAATAAATAATTATGAAAGAAATAATAAAAAAACACATGATATACAATATCAATATTATTTTTAAAAAATATTTAATACTTTAAAGATGAAACATTTAAATTTTCTACATTTTAAGTATATTTTATGTTAATATATTTTTTAAACAAGAAGCCTCATAAGCTGACAAGTCGAGTCATGGCTAGCTTGAGCTTGGCTTGTTAGCTCATCGAGCTCAGTTCACAAGTCACTTATCGAGCTGAGAGGTCGAGTAGTCTCACGAATCTGTTTGACTCACTCACACCCCTATTTGGGATCTCAATACCATGAGTTGTCTGCTTATGATTGTATAGGATCTTTTTTAGGGTAATAACATCCAAAACTCTTTTACAAATCAAGCTCTTATTTTTCGATTTTACAAATTCTTACTCAAATCTTAAAATTCATGATAAAATGTAAACTCTTATTTTTCATTTCAATCAAATTCTCAAGATCGTGGCATGCGTGAATGCATTAATTTAGTAGTTTAAAAAATGACTTGGGTGCTTAATTTTAAAATATTAATGTTCCAAGTGCTTTGTATATTATCCCTTTTGTTTTTTTAGGATATACATACATAATTTTTAGAATATTTTTTATTTACATAGTCAATACAAAAAAATTATTAATTACATATATCATACTCAAAATCATTTCACTCATCAAAATTAACACTGTTATCGTCTCCCAATCTCTTTTCATTAAGCCCTGCACTAAACCCTATCTGGCATTTATCACTATGATTTTTCAACTCAAGTGACTTTCCATCTATTATCGAAAGCGAGTAGTTCTCCTCTGCCACTGCATACAACATCACTATTGATGGATTGAATGCTCTATGTTCCCAATTTTCATGATCTAAGTAATCAACATAGATATTTAATTAGCAGAGATTCTTGTCCTATGCCTTATGGAGTCTCATGTTCAATGTGTTGAGCTCTCAAGTGAATGGAGGAGGGGGCAAAGGCAAGATGATGGCTTTGATTAAAAGAGACAGTGGGTATATCCTGACTTTGACCCATAAGTAATATGGTGAACTAAGCTGTTTAAGAAAGATGAAGGGGGATTGTTGCCTCCATTATGTGAGAATTGACGGACGAGTTGATACCAGGTGGGGAATAGATGCTAGCTTATTTGTAGACTTAACAAATAGAGAGTAGAAGAAGACAATGAAGTATAGGTTTTGATGTGTTAATGTGATATAGGATGGAATAAATGTAAATAATAATGTTTGGAAGTTCATTATGTAAATAAAAATGTTTTTAAGTGCTACGTATGAAAATCAAACCTTTTTTTTATAATTTAGAAGCATAAATAATATTGCTTTCAAAAGACTATTAAACCCAAAAACCGTAGAGAAAAAGAATGTTAAAACCTAAAAAAATAAAACCAAAAGTACAAGGTAGAGAGATCAAGTATCTCTTACATTTAAAATAGGCCTGGTAAATCATGTCGATGAATCAACTAAGAGTAGTGGATTAATTTCACCTTAAGAGCATGAGAAATAGAGGAGTAATGATATGTTATACAAAGGTTGTTAAAGATGTGTCAAAAAATTATAGTTTGCTTACACAGAAAAAACAATCACAATTCCATTAAAAAAAAGTCGACACCTCAGAACGATAAAAAATAACCAGTTATCATTCAAAACCATGCTCAAAGAATAACTCCAATTCATCCAATTGAAGAGTAGTCAGATATAAAGTCATTCCAAATTGAACAAAAAAATAATCAGCTAATCTAGAAGACAAAGAATTTGACTTCATTGAAATATTAGAGGATGAATGATAGACCAACAGTAAAATGCCATCAAGAGGTTGATAAAGTCTTGATTCATAATAGCATTGTCCATTTTCATGAACAAAATGGTCACAAACAAAATAAAAGGTCAATTGTGACTCTCAAGAAGACAAAAATGATCAAACAATGATAAAAAATTAGACTCAAACAAAACTCCAAACAAATCCTATAAAGAACCAATCATTATTGATATAAAGCAAAACATAAAAACTACAAAATGGCAAAACATTTGCTATAGAACCAACAAGCAAAATAGAATTGAGTATTTCATATGGCAAGAAAAAAGATAAAAAATAATTTTCAATATCAACAAGAAAGTATGTTGCTTCCATATTAAAACCTTAGATCAAATAACTACTTTTATTTTGTATAATGAGCTAGAGACAATAACAAAACTATGGTCAAACTTCATCATTAGTTACTCTCTAAATGTGATATACACTAAAACTATTAAAAAGAAATAAAGCATTTTGAAAACCTTATGAATATTTTTCACACCAGCCACATGTTGCAGAAGTTAAAAAACAATCAAGCTAAGAAAAAGAGTTGTAGTCCAAAGAAACCTTTCTTTAAGAATATCATTATAAAAAAAACATATATATATATATTGTCGGCACTATTTTTGGTGTGGGGTTTGCCCGTAAGAAGTTGTCGGTCATCGGAATTGAAATCCCGTTGCCCGCTTCGGAAGGACGTTTTAAAAAATTTAGTTTTGAAAAAGATGAAGTCAAACTGACCCCATAATTTTCATAGTTTAGATGAAAGAGCACTTTATCTCAAATCATGTATCTATCCCGAAGGATGAACGCAAGAATTGAGAGTGAGGCTCGATCAAATAAACTAAAGAAAGTTATGACATCTGTTTGGTCTCCGAAACCAATGTATTGGCCGACAAGTTCCCCTATTTAATATAAGGAATTAAATAGGGTTTATATTATGCTGGGTTCGGGAAAAGCTTCCTATAAGGGCAAGCCCTTATAATTAATTACATCTTAGGTAACAAAAGTTACCTAAGAATACTCTCGATAAAAGTCAAGAAAAATTATCTTCAAGGAGTTCAAATGGTAAGGACATTTCAAAGATATTGGACTAAGAAGTGTGAAGGGGGATTGGATGAAATTTGAAACATTTTGTTTTGGAGTCCAAAGGAAGAAAGACTAGAGGATGTCACGGATCCAAAGGAGAACTTCGGTGACTTCCCAAGCTATCCTATTATTT